CGAGGCGCGATGAGCCGCCCGTCCTCCGCCGGCCCCGGCCCTAGCAAGCCTTGCGGGAAGCAGCAGCAGCACGCCCCGTCCCCCGCCGCCGTCCTGCCGGGGACCGGCGGCGCTTCTCCGCCGCCTCCCCCTCCTCCTCCTCTTCCTCCCCCCCAGCAGCAGCAGCAGCAGCAGCAGGAGCTGACCTCGCTCTTCGAGTGCCCCATCTGCTTCGACTATATCCTGCCGCCCATCCTGCAGTGCCAGGCCGGGCACCTGGTGTGCAAGCAATGCCGGCAGCAGCTGAGCCTCTGTCCCACCTGCCGTGGCTCCCTCACCCCCAACATCAGGAACCTGGCCATGGAGAAGGTGGCCTCGGCCGTCCTCTTCCCGTGCAAGGTAAGGATGAGCGGCTGGGCAGGGGGACGGGAGGGCCACCCAGACCAGCCCCGATCCCTGTGCCCCTGCGGAAAACCCCCAGCCATCATCCCCATCCCTGTACTCCTGCAAAAAAAAACCCATCCCTGTACCTCTGCAGAAAACCCCCAGCCATCACCCCCACATCCATATCCCCAGACCACCCCCCTATATCCTCCTACAGAGGACACCCACCCACCATCCCAGTTGTTGAAACTAGAATCCTCTGTTCTTTTTAAAGAAAAGGAATATCCAAGCCAGGACCTCTCCAGCTGATCTGGACGGATCAGATCTAACTACTACAGCAGATCTAACAGCAACGCAGCCATACAACCCATTTTATCTAAGTGCTTGCATTAGGAAAAAACAACCTCAAAAGATGAGAAGAATCCATTTTAAGTGGAAACAAAAACTAAGTAAAGCTCAGCTTGAAGCCAGGGCTCCATACAATGTAAAGTTTGCAATGAGAATGAGAGCTCTGGTTGATCACCTGTGTTTCCAGTTGACGGGTGGGAGCAGCACATACTAGGGCTGATGCCTTTCCTGACAGCTTGTGTTTGGTCTCTTTCCAGTATGCCACAACAGGCTGCTCCCTGACCCTCCACCACACAGAAAAGCCAAAACATGAAGCCATCTGTGAGTACCGTCCCTACTCCTGCCCGTGCCCTGGTACCTCCTGTGACTGGGAGGGGTCCTTGGAAGCCGTGATGTCCCACCTCATGCATGCCCACAAAAGCATTACCACCCTTCAGGGAGAAGACATCATTTTCCTTGCCACAGACATTAACCTGCCAGGGGCAGTGGACTGGGTGATGATGCAGTCGTGCTTTGGTCACCACTTCATGCTGGTGCTGAAGAAACAGGAGAAGTGTGAAGGTCACCAGCAGTTTTTTGCCACCGTGCTGCTCATTGGCACCCGTAAGCAGGCAGAGAACTTTCAGTACAGACTGGAGCTGCACAGCAGCTGCCACCGGCTGACCTGGGAGGCATCTCCCTGCTCCATCCACGACGGCGTGTCCATGGCCATCCGCAACAGCAACTGCCTCATTTTTGATACAGCTACTGCACACCTTTTTGCTGACAACGGAAACCTCGGCATCAACGTGACAATTTCCATGTGTTGCCCGTGATGCATTGCTAGCGAGACTCGAGCTGTCTGGATGTAGTGCTTCACTGGGTTTTGGTTTTGGTTCCCATTTTTTATGCTATTCAACTATGTCATCTTGTATGCTAAGGTTTCTGACTAGCCAACAGCTGTAATTCTGGGCAGAAGAGGAACAAGAGTATGCTGTAAGTAATGTGAGCAGGACAAGGTCTTTTAAAATTCTTGGGTGCCTTAGGAAGACTACACACAAGATTACACACCTTTTGTAATTTAATTATATTTTATGTAAAGAGTGCTTCCATTGGATATATGGCTTAAGAGGCTCCTGTTTGGAGCACACCTAAAAAGCCCTTTCATCAGCAGTACAGATTCTGTCTGATGCTGGTGAGCTTTAATAAAAGGCTTTAGTATCACAAGAGGGTTTGGTTTAGAAGAGACTATCATCTGTTCCAATCCTCCTGCCATGGCAGGGAGACGTTCCACTATCCCAGGCTGCTCCAGCCCCAGTGTCCAGCCTGGCCTTGGGCAGTGCCAGGGATCCAGGGGCAGCCACAGCTGCTCTGGGCACTTACACCAGGGCCTGCCCACCTTCCCAGGGAACAATTCCTGCCCAATATTCCATCTCACCCTATCCACTGGCAGTGGGAAGCCAGCCCCCCTTGTCCTGTCACTCCAGGCCCCTGTCCAAAGTCCCTCTCCAGCTCTCTTGTAGCACCATTAGGCCCTGGAAGGGACTCTAAGTTCTCATGATTTGCCCTTAGTGAAGCCATGTTGACTATCACCAATCACCTCCTTATTTTCCATGTGCCTTAGCATAGTTTCCAGGAGGATCTGCTCCAAACTCTTTCCAGGCACTGATGTGAGACCTGACAACCTGTAGTTCTCTGGATCTTCCTTTTTCCTCTTTCTAAAAAAAGACGGTTATGTTTCCCCTTTCGGAGTCAGTGGGAACTCCTCTGGATTCCAGAACTTCTCAAATGTGATGGATGATAGTGGCCAAGCCGCTTCCTCCACCAGTCCCTCTGAACCCACGGGTGCATTTTGTCAGGTCCCATGGACTTGTGCACCTTCAGGTCCCTTCGACCTCCTCGACCCCAGTCCTCTCCTGCTGCAGGCAGTTCTTTGCTCCCCCACTCTCTGCCTCTGCCTCTGCCTCCTGTAATTTGGGCAGAGTGGCTGGAGCAGTTTGCCACGAAGGCTGAGTCAGAAACGTGGCTGAGTACCTCAGCCCTCTCCAAGTCCCAGGGAACTGGTGTTCCCGTTTCCTTCCATAGAGGGTCCACATTGTCCCAGGTCTTCCTTTTATCACCAGTGTACCTATAGAGGTTGCTTTGCTTGTTGCCCTTGATGCCCCTGGCCAGATTTAAGTCTTTCAGGCTCTAGCAATCCTAACCTGACCCCTGGCTGCTCACAATCTTCCCTGGCTGCCTGTCCTGTCCTAGTAGGTGAAAAAGGAAGAAAATCCAAGTAACCTTTCACTGGAGCTGTGAGGGGAACAGTAGGTACTTCAGCAATGTTCCTCCATTCCCTGCTACCTTATGGAAGGGAAGGGCACTGGGTCAGCTATGGTGGTGGCTTCAATATGAAAAAGGAGAGAAAGGGCTGGGGTATGGCATGGTACATTACACCATGTGAAATGCATAGAATTGCTGGCTTCTGTCTGCTTCAGGGGGATCAGGCCAGGTACAGGTGCAGGCAGGAGGCACAAGTCTCACAGACTGCAGATGGCTGGAGCCAGTGACACAAGGTTGTCCACGTGCAGCTGCCCTGGGACACACTCTACTATTGATCATTGTAAAAGATTCATAACATAGCAAGAGCTTTATGGCCAGTGTCTTGTCATTTGGTATTTAAGTTTTGTTGCCATATTTCTTTTATTTTGCAATAAATATTTTGCAAAACCTACACTGAGGAGCTGTGCTAACACACAAATGCATGGCAGCTGCTCCACGGTTACACTGTGTGCTCGGCCGTGCTGGATCAGCTGGGATCCCCTGGCATGGGCTGGCTCTCCCTGGAGGGGTCCTTGCCCCTGTCACCGTGCTGTCACCACACCTGACTCTGCCTGCAGACCCCCAGCCAGGCTACAGCACCGGGCAGGTACCCTGCAGCCCCTTGGCTGCTCTCCAGCCCACCAGGAGCATCTGCAGTGGTTCTAGAGCTCCCTCTAAAAACTATTTCCACGTCAAACACAAATTAAAATGCACCTGTCCAGGGACTGATGAGTTTAGAGCGAACACAGCTCACTTCGAATGGCCCGCCCCCGGCCGTGCTGTCGGGACAGGCACTCGGTGCCGCCAGACCCGAGGGCCGTGGCCATCCCAGAGAGACGTGGAAGTGATCTCGCAGTGCTATGGAGAGCACCAGGTGCGCCACCGATAGCACAGCCTGCACCTCAGCATGCTCTTTCCCTCTGAGGAATAAGTCAAACTGACTTCTCCGTTGTGGAACTCACGTGCTAGTAAGACACTGCGAATCCTACCGACAGCACAGGTAAAGTGGCACACACCTGCTCTCCCGACGGGAATCCAAACCTGCCTGCTTTTGCGCAAGACCGTTTTCTCTCTTTTATTCTCCGAGCTGAATGTGCAGATTCCTCGGAGAGGTTCGGCAGAGCCAACTCCTATGGGAGAGATCAGGAAGATGTGTGACAAGCGTGTGACACAGGCGTAAGGAATCCACTCGGGCAGGTGTTCCGGTGCAGACGGGGTGTCCGAACACGCAGTCCCGCCGCCTTTGGGAACGCGTGTCACCCCCAGTCCAGCTCCGCGCTGCTGGCAGAAGCAGCAGCTCCGGGACTCGGCGGGACCAGGACCGAGCGCGGGCCCCCGGGTCAGAGCCGCCCTGGCTCCGCGCCCGGCCGCGGGTCCCGGGCGGTGCGGGCGGCACCGCGCCCGCAGCCCCGCCGAGGCGGGCACGGGCAACGGAGCAGCCGCAGCTGCCGCCTGGAAGAGCAGCGCTGGGGGCAGCCGCGGCCCGGGCCGGGGCCGGTACCGGGTACCGGCGGGAGCGGCCGGGCCGGGGCCGGTACCGGCGGGAGCGGCCGGGCCGGGCCGGGCCGGGGCCGGTACCGGGTACCGGCGGGAGCGGCCGGGCCGAGGCCGGTACCGGCGGGAGCGGCCGGGCCGGGGCCGGTACCGGGTACCGGCGGGAGAGGCCGGGCCGGGCCGGGCCGGGGCCGGTACCGGCGGGAGCGGCCGGGCTGGGCCGGGGCCGGGTACCGGCGGGAGCGGCCGGGCCGGGCCGGGCCGGGGCCGGTACCGGGTACCGGCGGGAGCGGCCGGGCTGGGGCCGCCGCCGCGCGCTCCCGGCGTGCCCCGCGCCCTCAGCGTTGCCCTGGAGACGGTGGCGCGGCGGGCCGGGCACAGAACGGCCGGGCACGGAGCGGCCGGGCACAGAACGGCCGGGCACAGAACGGCCGGGCACGGAGCGGCCGGGCACAGACGGGCCGGGCACAGAACGGCCGGGCACGGAGCGGCCGGGCACAGACGGGCCGGGCATGGAAGGGCCGGGCACGGAGCAGCCGGGCACAGAACGGCCGGGCACAGACGGGCCGGGCACGGAGCGGCCGGGCACGGAACGGCCGGGCACAGACGGGCCGGGCATGGAAGGGCCGGGCTGGGCCGCGGAGCCCAGCGGAGCGGCGGACGATGGAGAGGGCGAGCCCCGCTGGCCCCCGCCCCCCGAGGAGGACACCGGCCACCCTGCAGAGCCGCGGTGTGAGACTGCCCTGGCCAGCCCGCAGCCGACCCCCACGGGCCTGCCCACCCTCCTGGCCTACAGACCCGAGTCCTCGCAGGCAAACATTCACCATGAGGTCAGTTGAGGCGGTTGCTCCCCGCTGCTTCATTCACATGCTTCCATATAGAAAGCATGGAACCAACGCCCTAACCCTAACCCTAACCCTTTGCCGAGCCCGGAAAGGAGCCCCTTCATGACAGCTTTTTCTTCACAAGACCGTTGAACAGCCTGGGCAGCAAGAGGCTGTGCAGCCTCTCCCCACTGCTGCACCCTCTGTTGAGAATTTCCCAGCAGAATATTTTGTCTGAATCAGACACAAAATGTGTATAAGTAGGTACAGCCACATAAAAGCAGGGTACAGAGTTCCACGTAACCCTTAGCAGACCAAAGTCACCAAAGAGTTAATTCAAGGCACAAGCTGAGGAGCAAGGGAATTTTGTTTCCAGATATCCAGTACCATCCTCAAAACACACCCTGCTGCCAACCTGGTTTGCATCTGGTCAGATGTGACTACCTCCATAGCACCAAGTCTGCTGGTGCTTACTCAGAAACTCCCACAACTGCAGTTTTTCTCTCTGTAATGCATTCAAATACTCAACTACAGTGTTCTGCACTCTCGCTTCCCTGGGAAGGAGCAGAGCTCACGAATACCAGTCATTCCCTTTGTTTGGGGGCATTTATTGATTTATTTACAACATATATTCTTTTCTTTTTGGTGGTTTCCTGAACCTAATGTTTTGAGTTAAATTGTTCCAAGATATCCTAGACATGGGTCTGTCGTGAGTGCCCTTAGGTGCTTTGACACACCTATTGCATTTTCACCGTGCTAACCGGGGATCTGGGGGCTGGTACCCCATGTCCTTCCTCCCCGCTCTCCCCATCGCAGCAGGCAGAGGAGGATGCTGAGCCAACGTGCGAGTACTGTGGTAACCTGCTGAGGCCGTTCCCCTTCTCCGAGGATGCGCCTCTCTCCGAGGACCAGGAAGAGGTAAGCTGGTGGGAAGGACGAGCAGGGGCTTGCTGTGGAATGGCCGCACTCATGGCTCTGCTCTCTCGCCTTCTAGAGATTCTGCTGCGAGCGCAGCCGAGAGCTCTATGAGTTCATCGTGAAGGAGAAGAAGAGGCTCGAGGATGTCAGCAGCCTTCCCAGAACTGTCAGCACCCATGAATCCCTCGGCTCTGAAGCCAACCTGCTGCTGTCAAAGGAGCAAGACAACCAGAGGTACTGGGAAAACTGGGGATCAGGTCTGTGCAATGAACAACAGGGAGCTCTGAGGGGAAAAGGAGCATTAAGAAACTGCAGAGAGAGGGATGAAAGAAGAAAAACCTTTCCTTTAGGTACCAGAAGTTCTGATTCTCTCTGGTCCCTCCTGGCTCCTCTACTGCCAGGCTGCACAAGGAGGTGGCGAGGCACATGCTGAGTGAAATGTTAATTCCAGTCCTAACAGATTAACTATCTAGAGACATGTAGAGCCAAAAAACCCCACAGATGTGGGAAGGGACAGTACTTGGGTGTAGCTTCTACCTCTGGCACTGAAACAAAACTGGCGTTTGTATTTCTGTTTTGATCCATAAACTGTGTTTGGATTACAGTTTCCAGAGTCATACACAAGAGCTCTGCAAGCTTTTGGGCTGTTTAGCAGGAGACCCAAAGTTTGTGCAAGAGTTTAAGCCTTCAGGGAAAGTTTAAGCCACAGGGAAAAGGAAAACTAAACCAGTACACCTGGAAGTAAACTGTTGGTCTCCTCAAAAATCCTTCACAGTCTGAGGGTGCAAGTGCCTCCTACTGTGTACAGAGCACACACTAAACTACTGTCAGATTAATAGGAAATTACACAAGAATAATGAAAATATTCTTGGAGATTAGTTGTTTTCTTGATCTTGTGGGCATCTGTCCTTCTCTTTCACATAAAATCCTGATCCAAACCCCATTACAATATTCAGCTCTCGTGCCAGTTCACAGTGTCTGTTCACAGGAATCTGTGTGGGTGCAATTCCTTTCTGCTGAGGTATGAGTATTCTGGTGACACTGCTGCCTGTTACTTGGAATTGTGAGCAGAGGAAAACAGATTCAGAAATTGTGTTCCTAAAGCAGAGATATCCACTACTTGCAGCTTTCTCAACATGATAGATGAGTATCAACAACAGTTCTGTTTTCCAGGCAGCAGAAGAGACACCTGGCTATAGAGCTGTCTGAGTCTTTAAGGCCGAGTGCCACTAAAGGTGAGCTGGTATTTTCGTATGGATTTGTCCATTTATCTCAACAATGAACTGAGTGGAATTGCTGGTTTCTAACTGGAGGATTTTATACAGCAGCATGTTCGTTCATTGGCAGATATGCAATCTCATTAAATTAGACACAGCCATATTAAATCATCCCTCACACATGAGCACAAGAGTGGGCACATCCCCTTTGCATAGAGTTTGTAATGATTTTCAGTAGTTATCTGTGACGTTTCCAGCTGAGATGCACAGAACTTGACCTGAAAGGACAAGCTGGCAAAGCCAAGCCCTTAGGGAGTAGGAACTGCCAGAATGAGGCTCACCCAGAATTTGCCTGATCAGGTGGATATTCCACTAATTCCTAGCCCAAGCTGTGGATGACTGAGCAGCCTTTGGGTCTAGCTGTAGAGGAGAAGTTTTGACAGGTGAACCAAATTTATAATATGGGCATGTTTTCACAGAGGATGGCAGGGCAGTGAGGCTTCTGCAGCACTGGGATCTCAAATGATCAGTTCCAGTCCGTGGAGCCAAATGTTATCCCAAAAAAGTTGCTCTTTACACAGATGTGTGTATATATGTAACTGAAAAAAATGTTATCTTTTATCATAATCCTGTACTCTGAAATAGCTGAGCACTGTGGACTGCCCTTGTTAGAAAATACCCCGAGACAGACTGTCAGGATGGAGTGTTTCAGCCAGGAACTCCCACTCACACATTTAGAGCAGAGGTATCATGGTGGGTACTGCCAACCCTCTCTGCTGCACAAAAGCCCTCCCTGTGCTCTGCAGGTTCACGGCAAGCTGGATCTATTTCCTACGAGCCTTCCCAGGAACTCTCATCTCCCGAAGGTGGGACACCAGTGCCTGCTGCGAATGCAGCTGAGCCTGAGTCAGAGCCCGAGCCAGAGCCTGAGCCCCAGCCCGAGGAGAAACTGGAGCCCAAGACCCGGCCCAAGGAGGAGCCCGAGCCGGAGCCCCGGCCCAAGGAGGAGCCCGAGCTGGAGCTTCAGCCCGAGGAGCCCGAGCTGGAGCCCTGGCCCGAGAAGGAGCCCGAGCTGGAGCTTCGGCCCGAGGAGGAGCCCGAGTCAGAGCTTCGGCCCGAGGAGGAGCCCGAGTCAGAGCTTCGGCCCGAGGAGGAGCCTGAGCTGGAGAAGGAGCCTGGGCCTGAACCCGAGTCCAGTCCTGAAGAGAAGCCCAAGTGCAAGCTCAAGAAAGAGCAGGACAAGAAACCCACGTCCCGCGGCGTCCTCGGCTATGACTTCAGTCTTCTGGGGAAGAAGGCAGGTACCTGCGGCCGACAGCGACGGGAGCACCTTGGATGTGTCAGCGCTCTGAGCAGTTGGAGCCCAGCAGTGCCTGTTTTCACAGGGCACCTGTGCCGGCCTGCTCTTAGCCGTTTTATCCTTCCAATCTTAGGTGGGGAAGGGTAAATTGGTGCAGAAGTACTACAAAAACGGAAAGAAATTCCTTACCATTCTCCCAGATGGACCCTCGCAGTTATTGTATCCTTTACGGGGTTCATTTGCCTGCTTTAGTCCAGGGCTTTACTAATTTTAAGTCTGTCCCAGTCCACCTTATTACAACCCAGCTCAGCTCTCCCACTCGCTCTGAGGAGCAGCAGTGAAACTTGACACAGCTCCTGGGCTGAGGTTTCAAAGAACAGCCAGGAGCTCCAATGAGCACTAGCTTCCAAGACCCAGCCCAAGGAAGCAGCACACCTTTAACACAGTGCCCTGGGTAATATATCAGTTTTTATGCCCCAGAGTAGTACCTGGGAGTATACAGCGTGTAAGAACACATCAACCAAGCAAAGCAGAGGGTTACAAACACCTTACCTAGCGGCAGCTATCCATCTGGAAACCTGGCCATCATCATTACACAGGCGAGAGACCAGCTGATGTGCATAGTACAGGAAGATGAGCCAAGGACAACCAAAATCCGAGCACTGTTTCAGTCTGATGGCAGGAGCACATGCTATTACCCGACTGGAGATGAGTGGTGCGTTAAGCGGCTTTGCTGTCTCCTCTGTGCATTGACATTTCAAGGACCATAAAGGGTATTTTTAATAGTATCCAAAAATAGACAAATTCAGCAGCTCACAGGCCCTGCTTCAGGTGCCCTCAGAGCAGCAAGGCAACGCAGCTGTGCCTTGAGAGGTGGGAGACAGACCCTGCCCCTGCTGTGCCTCTGTGCCAACCCTCAGGGCAGTAAGTGACCTTCTGCCAGAGGAGCTTACAGGGTTCAGAGGCTCCATTTCCCTTTTATTTAGGATAAATATGAGTATCCAAGGTGGGCAGTATTTGGACCAAGCAGGCAACCGGGTAAGAAAGTGGATGTGGCCGAACTTGTCACCAGGACCCCAAGTCCCACTGAGCCCCATTTTCATCTCCCTGAACCGCCACGTGGGGGTCAGGATCCTGGCCCAGGACAAGATCTTCGTCTCCTTCCTTGCCATGGGGCGACAAGCAAAATTCAACATGGGAACCAAAGTGCAGGTAATTGTTCCTGTGCTGAGCCACTCCCCACAGCGGGAGCAGGGCAGCCAGGGAAGCTCCCCTCTGTGCTTATCCCGTGCCATGTTGTCCCCAAAAAGAAAGCTGTGGAGATGCACGTATTCCTGCCACTCCTATGGAGATGGGGCATTTGCCAGCCCCAGCTCTCTGCAAGGGGCCACAGTGTGGGACTCCACTCCCAGGCAAATCCCCGACTACATCCACACGGTCACCCTGGCTCTGCCAGGGAGAAGAGCTATGATCCATGTGGGCAGGGCACACAGCAGCTCCTTTCCTCCTCAGGCTCCTGTCACAGGGGCAGGTTTCTCTGCTGGAGACGGAAGCCCCATCCCCAGCTTGGGTGGCTCTGCCTGACACATATCCTCTGTTCTGCAGGTCAGCACCAGCAGCCAGCTGCCTCCTCCAGCCCAGCTGGGTGAGGATGAGCTCCTGCTGCTTGCCTTCCGTGTGAGGATCCTGCAGATCTGCGACAGGATGCGGGGATGCATCAACTTCCCTTCCAGTGAGCAGTGGAACAAAATGCAGCCTCCTTTGTACCTCATGACCCAGGCTGTGAAGATCCTGGAGCTCTGCATGGCTGCTGACATAAGTGATGAGCTGCACAGCTCCATCAAGGCCATAGTAAATGCCCAGCAATTCTGACCAGTGTGTGTGTGGTGTAAGGCAAAATGAGCCAGAGACAGTCTCTGATGCTGTAGCACCTGCACGTGCTCAGCAAGATTTCTCCTTTGGCCCTGCCCGCCCTGGTGCAGAGAAAAGGGCAGCCCAGGGCTGATCCACACAGCCCCAAGTAGGTCTTGCTCAGGGCAGGCAGTACCAGCCCGCAGTGACACCACCTTGGTCATGGAGGCATAAGAGGGCTTTGCTCGAGCAGAGCAATCCCGTGCTCTGCAGCAGTGCACTGCTCCTGAGCAGGCTCCCTTCTGTCTCCAGCCCCAGCTGAGTAGTCACTTCAGGCCTCAGGTAAGGCAGAAGGACAAAGAGCACAGCCAAGCAGGGCTTGGGACAGCTACACGGGCAGTTGTTTGCTCAAGTCACCCACACCTCTGCCGCTCCTGACGAGGTGGCACCAGCAGGAACGTCCCAAGTGCTCCTGGTGCCCATGCCCACGGCAGCTCAGCCAGCTGCAGGTACAAGACACGGTGGTTCCCTGTGCAGAGAGCAACAAATGTCCTCAGAGTGCCCAAAGCCATCCCCAATCACCTATGCTTGGCTCCAGGGAGCACCAGCTGCAGCCTGGGATGGGCTCTGGTTCAAGCACTGCAAGCACAAAGCAATCAGTGGGTGTTTAAGAGGCCTGTGGTGCTGCAGTCAGCAGTGAGGAACCTCCCAGCCTCTCAGAGCAGCCTTTCAAACTAGGGGCTCACCTGGCCAGCTTCCCCCAGGGAGGCCACACCTCAACTGTGGCAGGTGCCTGAAGGATAAGACCAAGCCCCATGTGCCCCTCCCCACACTGGAGGTTCTTGGGGGCTTACACATGACAAATGCTAGGTCAGTAACTTTGGAAAGTTGGCTTTTTATGCAGTTTTTCAATTGCAGTTCCAAGCATGTCCATCGGTGACAAACAAGGTACTTCACACAGGAAATGGGAACTCTTTATTTCAATTAATGTTCTTGGGTTCTATTCAGGACAGCAGGAAGGCCCAGCTCATCTCTCAAATGGCCAAGGAAGAACAGCTGGAGCTGGCCCACATGATTAAAGAGCAGCTGATTTTAATTTTCACTGAAGTCACCAAGTGATGTAATAATTCTGCATATAATTTTGCTTATATAATTCAGTATATAATGCACTGTTCGACTCTGCCATAGATTTTGAAAAATATACAAACCTGTTTTAACCACATTAAAGAGATTTGATAGACAGCTATCAATTACTCAACAGCTTAGGACAATATCAGACACTCCTATAACTTCATTTTAAACTATAAAAAGAACATAAATTCATATAAAATACAACAGATTAAACAAACTTCTCTTTTCAAGGAAAAATTAGGTATCAACTCAATCTGCCATAGTGTGAAACATGAATATAAAATAAGTTACCATTAGTAATGCCTGCATTGCTGATCTATGAACTGGTCGAATGAAGTCTTAAAAAAACTATACAGTATTATTGCACTCATGGCTGTGCAGTGTGGACTGGCCAGCACTGAAACAGGGCTCATTGAGTGTTTGTCCAGGAGGCACAACGTGGCTGCAAGAGAGGCATCCAGCCTGCACCAACAGCGGCTGTCTTCAGTGCAGGCCTTCATGGGTCTGCACCACGCGGCCCGGGAACCACCACCCAATGCCTGTGGAGAGACACCTGGGTTACAGCCAGCAACACCCATGCCACAGCAGCACACCTGCACTGAGCCTGCTCCAAGGTGGGGAATCGTAAGCTACGTGCTTTGAAAGCCACAGGTGACATGGGGACGTGGAAGTGGTTTGTCATAAAATACCAACAGGATGTGAACTCCGTGCTACCAAAAGCCATGGAGCTTTTGCAGAGGAGCAGGGCAGTACACTAGAGCATGACAGTATTCTGCTCTCCTAGGTTAAGCAAGGAACAGACAGCAGCCTGTTCCCCAAGGCGCTGGAATTCAACTGCGCTAAAAGCCAGGGAGACCTTAAGCCCCTGGATAGAGGCTGTTCCAATGCACAAAAGCAGTGTTTCTGATCCCTGCACCACACACTTCATGGACATTAGGCCTTCTGCCTGCGATAACACACATCCTCCTGCCTCACGGAATGCCAGCTTCCTGCTCCGAGACAGGCAGAATGAGCCACATCCCAAAACCTCCCACCCAAACAGCCTCCGTGACACCACATGTGGCAGTTTAACATCATGGGAGCTGGTTCACCAGAAACATTTAACTGAACAAACACACAATCCTAAAATCCAGTCTGCAGTGTGCCCGTCTTACCTGGGCACATGCACTGGTGACAGGAGGAGACTTACGAGAAGTTTCAGTGCTGATCGATGGGGCTATGATCGATGATGGGACATTGACTCCATGTGCACATTGAGCTTCATCTCGTTATCAAGGATCTGTACAAGCTGCTGCATGGAAGGGAGGTGGCCAGACTCCAGCTTAGACCACACTGGGACATCTAGTGCAGAACACACATGGGAGGGAAACACCGTTACACTAGGAGCATCAGAAAACAGGCACAGCTGGTGTAAACATGGAATTGAGAAGCTCTAGGAAGCTGTGTGAGTTGGTACTGATCTATGCTGAGGAAAACATCTGAATCAACAATGCTTCCAACCTCTGGCTATGCTGAACCCCAGCCCAACTAGGAGAGCAGAGTCACTTAGAAGCGTATCATATTAATGGAGAGGTGCAAAATATCCACTGATATTCCTCTTGACCTGAAAAATCAGTACTGTTGTCCATCACTGCTGATAATATGGTAATAGCAATGGATTCTTTAGGATTCCAAAGCTCAAGCATGCTGCAGAACAGACAGGGAAAGCATCTAATTGGAGAGCTGATGGTTTCTTATTTAATGCACATCACACACAAAGAAAGAATACAACACAATTATTCCAAGGCAACAAACAGCCCTCTGAGTAAGTTTTTACAGAGCTGTTGTAGAATATCTGACATCTGTATAAATTTCTTTATAAGACTTCTATGATTTTCATCATTTATTCTGATAAGACAACATCTGAACATACAAATGGATGGCAATTTCCACATATCACATTTGGGACATAAATTTCCTGACACCATCCCTCATCCTCTGCACTCTACAGCTCTCACATGTGTGTGTATATGTGACACTCCTCAAACAAAGTCTCAGCTCACCATTCAAAGTGATTTCAAAAGCCCCAGTGGACATACACTGGTTCTCAATCATGTTGCTCAGGAAGAAGACCATCATGCAGGCGTACACCTGGAAGAGAGCAAAGATTCACACAGACCTCAGCCATGTCAAGCATGCCTGCTGTTGTTCACAGGTGCCTCTGAATTCCCTCTGTGATTGCTCAAGGAATGTTCCCATCTACAGACATCTCCCCTTCCTCGTTTACAGACTGTGCACCCTGCCTTCCCCAGAAAAGCACCAAACCAGCTCCAGCCCTCCGCACACCTCTGGACCCAGCACAGCCAGCTGCAGCAGGGCTGGCAGCGTGACATGGAATGCAACTGCTCCCAGACACAGCCTGTCACTGTCACAGCAATCTCCAGACCACAGAGCCCAGGGTCCAGCACGAACAGCAGAGCAAGGCAAGTCACATGCATAGCACCACCAACCCTCCTGCACGCCGCCATGCCTTCATCTGGAATTTTCTCTGCGCGTGGGTGACTAAGGAGGAAAGGATAGGATCTTCACAGTACAGCTCCTCCCTCACCGCCTCTAATTTCCTTTTCCTGTTCACAGGTACACTCACACAAGTCACTGCAACACCACAGAACCTGGCACAGGGACAGCAGCTACACACCGCAGCCAGCCCACCCAGGCATGGAGTTGGCCCATTTAATTCAACCGGAAATATTACAGCTTCTGGGCATGCAAACTGGCCAGTGAAAGACCCAGGGCATGGGCAGCTCAGCATGGAGGTCTGTAAATTAGTTTAGTGAATAAATCTGGAACAAGGTTACTCCAAATCTGAGTACAACACCCTGAATCTACTGGCATTACCACTACTGACTCATGGGGATATTCTCCCACAATGTTACGCCAGTCTTCTCTCCAAAAAACACCCACAACATTTCAATTCATTCTTCTAATGCCCGTCTAATTGCTGCCTAATCTATCTGGAGTCTGATGGAAGCATCGACTACAAAACCATTACAAGACAACAGAGAAGGGAAACTGTAATTTTAACATCAATAGTACTGGCTTGAAATGCTCTTCTTGAGCCCTAAAAAACAAAGAACTCTTTTATTCTCTTTGTCAGCACATTAACCTCAGCTGCTCCTCTGTAGTAGCAGCAGCCTGGAAAAAGATCACAGAAACACACATGGGTTTGTCAAAAGCATAAAGCACAACTGGTAAGAATTATTATACCATAAGGCTGCAGCATATGAAAGGTGAATCAGTCAGAACTGAGGGACTCCCAGAGCACCCTGATGAAATAACTCTGAAGCTGCTTTTTCAGACTAAAAGAAGTATGTCCTTTACCTTGTTTTCCTGGCCCCACTGCCAGATGCTTGGAGCTTGCATGCCAAAGAAAGCAAACGGGTCCTTGCCAACGATGATTAAGCCAATTAATACTAGTTTGAAGACAGACAGGAAGGATGCTATGTGCCTGTTAGAGACAACACACACCAGTGACTGACTATACACAACTGTAATTCACCTCACTAGAATTTTGACAGCATACAATCAAATGTTTCAGGAGAAGTATGAAACTTTCCAAGGTTTATCTCACTGTAAAAAACCCCAAACCAAATCAAACCATCAAAACAAAAAAGCAACACACACAACACCCCCAGTAAGGCCCTGCTTTTGCATAACACCCCAGAATGACATCTTCCTGTAAACTACAGATTCTTTAGCTCCTCAGCAGACTTCAAATGGGACTTTGCTTTTAACTTATATATTCCTGAACTGGATAACAGATTCAGTTTCTAAAGCTGTTCCACATTACAGATATGTCTGACTGACAGGCACCACTTCCTGCGGAGCATTTCCCAGTGAGTACAACTCCC